CCGAACAGGAGCCGATCCGAGATTCAACCTCTGAATCGCCCTCGTAGTAAGCGGCGCCACTGGACACTACACTTACCTGTACACTTAGTCTCTCCCCTGATCAGAAATGTTTAGATTTCGCAACATCGCAATGATTGACCAGGATGCTTCAGTAGCCATCAGCCTAATGAAAGCCAACCGTAAAAGTTGCTGCCCATGTGGGGAGCCAGCGAGCAGGCATCTATTTCCCCTATCGGAATATTGCGCATCAACCCAGTCACCTCATCGATAAAAAAAATACATGGAACTCTCGTATCGGTAGGAGAGAAGCAATAGTCAGCTTTATCATCGTGAACTCGTGGGCTGTGAGTTTGATATAGGAATTTTCAACGAAAATTGGACTACAGGTGGAGGAAACGTGGCCCAAGGCGGCTAACTTGTCTCGAAGGTACTGAGGTTAGAGTATCCAAGTTACGAAACGTGCTGTGCGGAAGAGAGATTACGCTCTAAAGGATAAGAGAGCAGAAAGACGAGCTGGTAATTGAGCAACACGGCAGGGATCGGTTCCGCGCAGAATGGACACAACGCGTCACTTCTTTGCTTGGAGATATAGGACCGCTGGCAAACCTCTTCTCCGGATAAGTGGACCAACTTTTACGGGTGGTATTCCGTTCACTCATTACGGTACCACTTGCCACTCACTGTCGATTCGCGAAACGGGGAAGCTCCGAGAGTGCGGAACGGACGCTGGGACTCCGAAGCGGGTCCAAGTGAGCCATGGTTCCACTTATGAGCTAACAGTCTTTGCGGATGTGCTACACTGTCTCAATGAAACTGTTTTCATGGGCAATTCCTCGCCTGAATCACCAACTTTCTTGTCGGACTTGCTAATAAAAGCTCATTCATTATCTATTCTCCAAGGCGAAGCAGAGCTCATAGGCTTCAAAAACAGTCGAAAAAGTTGTAGAGTAGGTTCTTCTCAAGTGAGATTGGGTTTTTCGATTACAAGTCTTCATCTAAACTACATACAGGCAAAGTACCACAATATTACTTGTCCTTGTAGGTTGTAGGTTTAACCATGTCGTAATCACTTATCTTCGTCAGCGACATTTGCTTTCGTGGAGTAATGAAGGCCGAAAAATGTGAAGAAGAAGATTCCTTGATAAAGCAACAATGCGCTGTTTCTGATAACACACCCTAGTGTGATATCTGGAAGAGCGAGCGCATTGTTGTTGTGGACCCGTGCTACAGATGTACGCTTCGAATTCTCTCATGAGCTGTAAGCACTTCTTCTTCCTCTTTCTTTGATAATTAATGTCTTTTTTCAAAGGATTAAGTGCTGTAGCATAAGTGGGCATGGCCATGATCACTAAGGGATCCTTCTCTGCTGCTACAGTCTCAATAAAATGCAATAATTTTCAGCTGGCCCATCTGGTCGCAGTGATGTGAACGCATTTTACACTCACGAGAAAGAAGACTTCAGGGTGAGCAAAAATCTTTCTGAGCCCACTAGTTTCTTGT